TTAACCTAGTAAAGTTTCAGTCGACGAAGATATATTACGAGTATAATATATTGGATGAGAGAACACTTTTATATATTGTAGTATTTCCTCATCCATATTGTATAGACTCTTATCCTCGTGCGAACAATATCTAAATCGAGAGTTACAGCTCCAAATGTAGACAACTGGAGGAGGTTTAGGTATGTAGAGTACGCATAACCAACCAGCTAAATTCTATATTATGTATTCTTGGCTGTGTCTTCATCACAGCCTGTGATGAAGACAACAATGTGCAGATAAAAACTTTTTTTTTTTGATATTATGTTATTGAAATTTACAACTGTAAACATATATACAACCAGTAAATTTGCTTTAAGAATATATTACATGAATGTACTTGTGAAGAAGCTACCCATTGGTAACACTTCAAAGATAAATTAATTTAGGAGGTCCCTTGACCATCTTCTTTTCAGACGCCTCGGATGGTTGTCAGGAATTGTGTTGGATGAAAGGTTACAAACTAGAGGATTGGGGTGACCAAAGAGTTTGGAATGAAAAGAGGCATATTTAGTACGGGCCAAGTCTTCCACAAGAGGAATGTTGAGGTCTTTATGGATAATTTAATTTGTTACATAATAATGATCCTTTAGATTTAGGATTGTAAGGATTGGATACGGGAAGAATTTGATATTTTTGTAGAGCCCCAAAGCTCAATACCGTATGTCCAAATGGGCCTGAAGATGGTATTGTAAATGAGTTTTTTTGTAGAATATTGGAAGTTTAGAGCGTTTGTCAAGTAAGTGTTGTAGTAGTCGGAATCTGTTGGCAGTTTCTTGTCTTTTCAGTCTAGTATGAGGATTACAGGTAAGGAGTCCTAGAGATAAAACTTAAAATAACTTACACAAACTATCAAGAAAACACCAAACACAAACAAGAACCAACAATTAACACCGACATATATGGATGAACATATTCCTATGGTATAGATATATATGAATGAAATATATTCCTCAGTCTATGAAGATCCTTCATACCATCGTGCAATACCATGGAATTATGGATAGGTGATCCTTGCACCTACCATGTCTTAAACTAAATCATCAAATTTTTAATATTTGTGACAGTTATAAATAAGAATTAATATTTTTAAAAAAATGTTAATCGAAAAAAGAATATGTACGTAGAACTATTGGATGGAAATGAAATATTTATTATAACTTATCCATTGGATTTGATGAAGAACGCATTGTTAAAAAAAAAAGAAGTGTCAAGTAAAAAAACTAAAAGTAAAAAATATAAACATTTTATCCCAAAATGCATCTTTGTTCTTGTAATTGCAGTTAAAAAAAACAACAAAGAAATGTAACTCTTACCCTCTAAAATTGAATTTTAAATCGGCTAGTTGTTTATACGGAAGAGCATAAGTAAGTATACAGGGAACGATTGTTGGTGTTATCCTCCCACGAACTCCATGGTCGCTAATTGTTGTTATTACTAGGAGTGAAGTGGATTTAGAATAAATAACAGATCTGGAAAAACAACCTAATTGAATCTAATTACAGCCAACTGATTGGCCCTCTCCCAGACGGCGAAGGCCTCGCAATTTACGCAATGTGGAAAGAGGGACGAGGTGCAGCATTGAGCATAGTAAATATTGCCTCAACATTGCAACATTGCCTCTGCTGTTTGAGCAGCCATCTCCGGTGGCGTGTTGTTTGACCTGCCTAATTCAGGGCGGCAAACAGCGGGGACCTTCATTACATCACTGGACCGCAGTCTGCATGGTCGATCTATAGCCATGTTCCTTAACGGGAAAGAGAGGAAGCAATGCTATACTCCCGTCTTAGGGATGGATGCAAAAAACTGCATAGGTAAACAAGAAAAGAAGTCTGTTAGATAAAATAAAATATAGAGAGACGAATACGTGAGAGATGGAATTCGAAAATATTCAAAAGAGGACCAGAAGGCACAAGAAGACGCCTGTCAAGAATTCAGAAAGTCGAGTTGTGATATTGGAGAATATAAAATAAAATTTAGAGCTCAAAATCCTAGAGATATTCTGTGCAGATACTCCACCAAGGAGGCGAAGATTTTTTTTTTTATAATTGGCGAAAGTATGAAATTTCAAGTTTATTTTTTTTGACAAATTATTATTTTATTTATTTTAAAAATATAATAATCTGTCACGTGGACGATAATTATATTGAGATATGAACACATTTACACCATATATACTGAAAACATAAAATTAACAAAAGTAAAATAATAACTAAATAATAATCGAACAACTATGTTCAATAAAAAATAAAATAACCTAAAGATAAGTGAATTAAAAACATAAAAACTCAGTCATACCTATATACAATTCAAGTCTAATAAGAATAACAAACTATTGAAGATTATTTTTTCCCCCAAACAATCAAATGAAACAATCTGCTATTGTGAGTATTGAGTTATCACAAATATTATAATAATATGTTTTTTTTTTACAATGCGCTCTTCTCAATTAACTGATACATTTCGATAACAGAAGGAAACGTGTAGTGCAATCTGTGGTCGGATATTTTTTTTTTTAAACAGTCAATCCATTACCTCACTCTAGAGGATCAAGCACTATAAAGTTGAAGTCATTTATTACGGATTCAGCATAGATTATTAGAAAAGGCCTCGGGGCTTCATTAGTAGCTAAGTTGGCCAAGAGAGGCAATAAGTAAGCCAGAAGAGAACAGGGGCCCTAATCCGTTATAAATTATTATTTCCTAACAAAGGGCCTAGAAGGAGAGAGATGTAAACAGAAGAAGGAGAGAAGCTCCGGTGGTGGACAGAATTAATTCCTTAGCCCGGGTTGAGCGACTAATACAGAAATATTAACTGATATTTATCTCTTTATGAGTATTTATCAACCAGTTACTATCATAGGCACAAACTTCGAGGGGATGAAGGGGGGGAGGACAATTGCTCCCCAACAAAAATAGAGAGGCAGCGAACAAATGGTTTGCCCCCTCCCCCCCCCCCAATATTTCAAAGAACAAAAATTTTAAAAATTGAATCAAAACCAATAAAAAATAAATTTACATGAATGAATAAAATATGTCAACTAAAATAAATTAAAGAAATAGGGAAAGTGGACTAGATAGCTAAGCGACGACTTGGAAGTAGGTACGCAAATATTTTACCATGCACTATGTCCCTGTTATTAAAATTTTAGTTTATATTCAAAGATAATTTTTTGTAGCAACATATACAAGGATTTTATTATTCCAGGGTAACTAATAACATCTATTCATAAGATTGTATTTTTTGAAGTGTATTTTATTTCATTTTTTACTTATCTTCTACACACTGCTATCTATGTGTGTGTATATGTATATACATATATTTTTTTTCTGCTCGTAATCTAATGAGTTATAGTTTTCGCTGAGGGACATATATAAGTCGTTTATTTACTCAAGTTATTTTATTTTTTTTTATTTTTATTTTTTATATTTTATCAGTAAAATTGGTTCTTTTCAATTCTGTTTAGTTATTAATATGTTTTTTTTTTTTTTTTTTGTACCAGTATTATAATATTGTAACCCTTGTCGCATCTGCTTTCCTTAATATACCCTCCAAAACTATGTATATACTCATTTTACTACTTAGATTTTAGATAGTCTTTATTATAATAGGTCATCCGGCCAGATTTATTGTCAATTGATTTGAGCAATATTGTTATTCTTAGTCCCAGAATAAAGATGTTTTTCTATTTCTATTTCTATTTTTAATAGAAAGTTAAAGTGAAATTCCCTGACATATATTTATTCAATGATAGTTTTTCCTGACCAACATGTCTGTGAACACTAATATTAATAATGTATAATTTTTCTTCAATATATATATATAGAGAGAGGGGGGGGGAGAGAGAAACTTTTCGTCAATATATATAAACTTCTCTTCAATATATCTACGACAGTCAACTATCAATCCACTAATATAACTAAATTGATTTATTATACATAAATAAAAATTGACTACAAAATGATTTGAGTAAAAAACATTCAATCTTTTATATAACAAATATAATGTTCTATAGGGAACATTAGGTTTTTTTATTACGGAAACCTTCCATGCAATCAGTCCTGAACTTGGGCCAAAACGTCGGCAAAAATAAAAATAAATATCTTTTATTTATTTTTACTTCAGAACACCACAACCAACTTCTCTTCAATTAAACTTTTAGTAGTTTTTTTTTATCGCCTTTATTTTATTTTTATTAACTGAGCGGCAAATTAACTAACAGAAACATTATTGCTATATCAAACCATTTACTTTATTTCTCCTGATACCGACAGCAGATGGAAAACATCAAGGACAAGATCATATATTTACAAGTATAGTAAAATAACTATTTACATATTCCCCTTAATATATAACCATTATTATTAATATAGTTTTTGAAATCAAAACTATGTCCCTAAACGCACCTTTAGTTTTTAGAAAACGATGATCGGATATAAGACAGTTAGCTCTTAAGAAAGGCGATATATAAACTAAAGCACTGTATATTTATTTCCAATTTGAAAAAAAAATTATAATGTACTGAAATGTTGTTTCGACTTTAGCAATTTTCCCTGTTTTGAAAATTCCCACACTTTTCCCATTTTCCAAAACAGTCGATATCCTGGATTTGTTATAAAATATGTAATATATTCAATCACTTTGTTAACATATTTTCAAGTTCACTCATACGCAAAAAAAAACTTATATATAAAAATAAGTATAAATTTATTTATTTATATATACAATAAATATTTACATATATTATATGTATTATATTTTAACATAATTATTAAAATTGGGAATTAGGTCACTTAATGATTATTCAACGTTTGTTTCGAACCCGGTTTTTTTTACAGTTAACAATGGGATCCTCTTCAATGTTTTAAAATAGAGCCTAGAAACTTCAGGCCAGGGACACAACGACAGCCTGAGTACCGTCCACTAGCACAGATATTAAACTAATAAAAATTAGCTTAATATCTGTGCTAGTGGTGCCCATTGTCAACTTAAAAAAAATAGAAACGTTGAATAAACAGTCGAAAATACTTTACAGCAATTTTATGTTTGTAATATAATACTGGGCCGTGAATGGTGTTTGTATTATTTGATGAGGTAGAGGGCACAAATTGATAATGCGAACAGGAGGCCACGAGAGCCAGTTGTGGTAGCCGCTTCATCACCAGCATCAATCAGCGCTGGAACATAATTCCAGTTCCCTCCATCGACCTGTCTGCCATCGAGGCTGCCCGAATTTATTGAATCCGCCAGATACTTTGTTGAGGAGAACGGAAAGTTGATAGGAGAATTCAACAAAAACACCAAAGTCGGAAGTTTCAATTTTAAACCGATTTTAAAAGTTTCTTTAAATTTTATTTTGCAAAATATTTTTTCTTGACAACATTTCAAAAGAAAGGAAATAAATGAAACACTGAATTATATATATTTTTTTCAATTAAAAGATTTAAACCTAGCCCATATCGATATCTGTAAGGCCCAAAAGCCCCTAAAGATTGAATGTGGAAAATTCAGTTCTAGTGATTAATTTATTTTTAACAAAGTACACACCATACAGTGAGAACTCTCATATTAGGTACTTTTTTAGGTAACTTCTCTCTAATACATTCGACGTATTAGCGACATAAATGAAACAAGATTATTTGTACCTATATACAAAATAATATTATCAAAACAGCCAATTCAACAAAAATAATTGGTGAAGCTTCATACTTTATCACGACTATTAAAGATACGATTTGCTTAATGATCTTGCCCAACTAAAAAAATTCCTCCAGTTTAATAGTTAAGCAATAATACCATCCATCTCTGATGTTATTGTACTCCATTATTGTACTTAAGGCATATTTGAATGGTGCAAAAGAGTATGGCTTTGTACTTCTGATACGTACTACGAGAAAATAAGTGCAGGCGTTTATCACAGGGAGTATAGAAGATATATCTGGATATTTTTTTGTTTATTAATTAAAATTATAAATAAGTTTCTTTCTAGGTTTTCCGTAGTGCCCAAGGATGATAGATCTATTCTCTTCAATTTACCTTTTTGATTGATTTTTAATTCACCGAAGACTATCATAAACAACAATATTTTATGTATTAAAACCTCAAAATTTAATAAGTATTCTATGGCAGCCATAGCATATAACGGGCTTTCGGTAGGAATTGCAGTTTATCTAGAAAACGGTACATATTAGTTAAAATATAGGGTCTGATGTGGTTCCTCTGGACGTATACCATATCTTGATGCCCGATTCAATATCTTTAAAACACAGTTTATCTGGTTTTGATTCGCCTATTTTTGAAACCATTTGAGTTTTGTAACCACTTATTTTTTTTTTCAATGATTTGTATTGTAGTTTTAGTAAGGTTTTAACTTTTGAAATTCGCATTCGTCACTTCTCCATGAAATTCTTTTTCGTTTAATAGCACAATCATCAAATCCATCGGTCCTGGTAGCTGGAAAATGGATCTATCTATGGATTCCATTCTAATATACTTTTAAAACAGATGATAATAAGTAATTAACTATGCGCTTTCATTTATTATAGTATATGAACAAAATATATTAACAGACAAAACTGATACCACTTACCTTCATAGACATTGAGGGTCGCTTCAGCCGACACGGCATCCCCTACTCCGTTCTCCGCTACACACTCGTAGGTAGCATCGTCCCTGCCCTGCTTGACGGGCTCGATCCTGAGCATGGATCCTCCGGGGTAGGACTGGACAAGGTACCTGGACTGGGTGGAGGACACCTTCTTGCCGTTCTTCCTCCAGACGATGGTCGGTTCTGGATCACCGCGGGCATCGCAGTAGAAAGCTGCGGTTCCGCCCGCCTTCACCGCTTGGTTCCTCGGGCGCTCCGTAATCTTTGGAGGATCTGAAACAAGAAGGGAATTTGCCGTTAACAAAAAGTATTACAAAACAATTTATTAAATGTTATTAAAATGCTGAATTATATTATCGCTGTTATAATTCCTGACATTCTTTAAAACTCACATATTTATATCCTTTCGGTATAAAAGGTCCAACAAACCATCGAACCGCTAGAAAATAAGCAACGGACTAAGATAAGCAGGATTAAGAATATTCCGTATCAAAGATGAGACTATAAGGAAGGGGAGAGAGGAGAATAATGAAAGCTGCAAAGATAGGAGGAGCCCTGCGAAGGTGACCCGAGGGGGCTGTGTGGCCCCACTGCACCCCCGGGACCAGTCCTCCTCATTACGGCATTTACACCTCTGAATAAATGAACAGGTCTGGATTTTTTTTACCGTTGCAATAGTTGCTTCTTCCTAGCAAAGCTTGTTTTTAAACTATTCCAGCAAATAATAAATAGCGTCTTATTCATAAACAGCTTATCAAATGTAAGATGAATTATTCATAAAAAAATAAGGAGGAATTATCAGGAACATGGTTTCCACACCAGACAAAAACTCCGCGAGCCAGACGATAAAATTAAATGGTTGGATCGAAACGTCGGCAAATTTAATTAACACGATTATTGACTGTATATTCTGCCTATTTTCCATCCTTACAATTTTAACCGTCAACTATATATCAACGTCAACTATCTAACTGTTAAAAAATTAATGAGTAATTTAAATATTAAATTTGCCTATTTTTTTTTTTAGCATAAAGTTTTGATCTGGATTGCAAAACCTGCATCTTAGTATTTACAAAATATTGGACTTTCTACTGTTCTTGCGTCAAAGCAAGGATATTGGCTTAAGATTTTTAAAGTAGAGAGTAGAATTTTTAAACCGTGGAAATATGGGAGACCAATACCATTTAGGGGCTATAAAACGCCGGATTTTGTGACTGGAAGTCGTTCAAAATCATCAATGCAATGCCGCAACCAATGGGCATGTAAATTAGAAGAGATGACTAACGAACGAATTACTATTCGTTTAAAATTGAAACTTATTTATCCGATGGATCGCATGAAACGTAGATGAGATAATGATGTTTGGTCTGACCTATGGATATGTATTCTAATGGAGTTGAGTAGAGGAAGGTATGTAAGCAAGGACTATTGGTAGTTATTTGCATAGAACAACGGTTCACAATAGAGTTCCATTATTATTCTCTGATCCTGTTTCACACAGTCACGTGCCCGGAAAGTAACCAATAGCCAGAACGAAATCCAGAAAAAGATTACAGGAACTGGATGATACGTGCTAACAGTTTAAACAATAATACAAAATAAGGCAAACAAGTACAAACGTTGATTTATTTTTGTGGAATTCAATAAAAAAACAAGAACACTTAATGTTTGGAATGCTTCGGTTCCTTATAAATCGTTAGCAATAAGGTTTTTATCCGCTACAATGAGATTAAACGGGGTCCATTCCCTCGACCAACAGTCCATTTAAAGTTTTGTTGGAGCTATTGTTGCAAATCTGCATGCTGGAAGTTTTAATTAAAAGTGTTATTCGGTGGGATTTTCTACTTTTTCCCTTCCTGTTTGTACTGATTAATTTGCATAAATGTTATACTATTTCCTTTTGGGAGGAAAATAGACATTGTTTTTTTTATAACCGACTGGGGATTGATGTGTAGCTTCTACCAGAAATAACTAATGAACTCTAAAAAAAAAAAAAAAAAAGTTGTCTCAAGAAGTTATAAGGCAAGAGTAATACAAAAACACATTGATTATTTCCAAAATATTAATAGAAACAAAATTATATTTAAAGGAAGGAGATGGTCCAGGGTGGCGGTCATAAATAGAAGAAAATCCTAGCTGAACACAAGTCGGGTCGAAACGTCGGCTTTTAATAAAAATAGTTTTACCACTATTTAGCCTATTTATGACCGCTACCCCGGACCATCTCCTTCGCTTATAGTGCAACAGTCAAATATTAAATATTCAAATTTATTTTTAGGCTATAAGTAAAATATTTTCGAAAACGGAGTCTTGAATTTCTCAAATATCATTAAATAACCGGCCAGTAAACGTTCCACTAACCCAGTAAATCTATTATTTTTATTTTTCGACTTAGATAAAAAATATTGATAGGCCAATCATTCACTGGGGTTTGAGAGTATTAAGGCTGGTGCATACAAAACGCGATATTTCTTGGCGATATGATATCGTTGACGGTGTTACATTCTATTCCAATAGCAGTCATACAGATATCTGTAATCCGCAATGATATAGACAAAGGGGTCGCAGATCATTGTGTGCAATAGCCTTAAGGCTTTGATTAAAGAAGCTTCCAATTATGTCGTTACAAATATTATTGTAAATGATGCTTAGCCTTAAATGATTTTCATTAGTACTTTAATAATAAGCAATAAGTAAAGATTTGGATGTATAATCAAAATTATACGGATTCAGTCATGAAGAAAATTGGCAAATATACCGTACTTTTTTCTAATACCTTATTTATCCTTCCCGTAGGATAAACAATAAACGGAAGAAACGGGGAAGAAGGTGAAGAGAACAGTGCCTTTGATACAGTAGGCAGTGAGAAAGTAATACAGCCGGAGTGGTGGGCCGAGGATAAAGGCCCAGGGCGTTATTGAGTCATCCCGGAGATTTGTATGGCAGTGGGAAGAGAGGGAGGGGGGTTGTCAGCCGGAACAAGGGTTCTAGAACAATGTCTTCGCCAAACTGAAGACTATTTCACTATATGCCTCTTCACTTCCGTATGGCATTTTCAAAGGGGGTCGTGGATATTACTTCGGCGGCTATATATAGAAGGAAAACAATAACCTGTTATTTCAATGCGCGGAATGAAAATATTACTTCCAATTAAAAATGTGCAATGAGCAAACAAACTGATCAACAGGAAATCTTTTCATTTCATTCCTGTAAAAATGTCATACACTGCATTACCATTTATGCTATAGCTAAGGGCATCTCGTGTATAAATGGTATCAAGGAGTGAGTTAGCACTATTACTAACAGTGAGACATAAAGTTATCAATAAGTTATGCTCGACCAATCAATATGTCTACACTCGGCACTAAGCTAGGCACTTATATAAATAGCTGTTCGGTGAGAAGCTTTCCTGGAATTTGGCTATCAGGCATCATAACTACATGGCCTGCCCATTGAAGTCGACCAATCTTAATAAATAATAATCTTTATCTGACTATCCTGGAAAAGTAGCTTACATTATCAAGATACTTAATATATTATATTTCTGTCTCTTGGTAATAAAATTATATTAATCAATACTGTCCGAATTTCAACTTCCTTATTATGTTTAATCTTTATAATTATTCCATCTTCTACATCTACAATTTTTCTGCATCATGATATTAATATGAATTTTGTATTTTGTTTATTTAATCCTGATGAAGACCTGTAATAGGTCGGACGTGGGGATACAAAATATACCGTAAGTCCTACTTATTCACACACGCCACTAACTTCTCAAATTAAACTTACGATCAACAACATGTACATCAAGATCTGTCTATTATGGTCAAGGGTGTGTTATAAGAATTCGTGGATCAGAGCCTTTCTCGCATAGAGAAGTTTAACTTGGACAGCATTGCATCTAGGTTCCAACAGCCATGTTCATCTTCATTCAATTTTATGCACGAAAACACGTTATTTTTAACTGAATCATAAAAGGCTAAAAGTTTTCGATCTTTCACTCTTTTGGCATCATTATTGGGTAAATTAGGATCGTTGGCCGCCTGAATTTGCCTTCTTCACCTTTGCCTATCTAGGACTATTTCTCCCCTGTTAGGAGTATACAGATGTACTGTAGCATGTTTGATGAGTTTATCTATCCAGCTAGGAATCAACAATTATGTTTTATGAGGGACTCATTCGAACTATTTGATCTGTTCATTTTAACCTCCTTATCTTTTCAAATCATATTGATTGACCAGTTTATGAGAGCAGATCGAAATCGGGCCTTCTCCTCCATGTTTCAGGACATTTTTTATAATGGAGGATTAATTTGCGATATTAAAACTAACAAGGAAAATCATGAACAACTGGTATAATAAATGAGTGACAATGAAGGTGTAAGTTTCTAAAACGATCAGACCCATTTGCCAAATTTCTGTAAGTATTTATAGGAGCAGCAGAATAAAAATTCATTAAATAAATATTTGCTCTTTCGTCCATTCAACTAAGAAAACTAGTCTGCTTTAAAATATCCAGTATTCTAAAGAACTAATGAATGGGTAAAGATTAGGCAAGGAATTAAACCCAACAATGGTAGACTTTTTTTCTTTAGTCATTAAAGGCTGTCCAAGGCTCGGAATTTGTGACCCCAATTTTAGAGGAAACCTTAGAGGTCGGGCCATTTCCTTTAGTTTACTTTCTGCTTTAGCTATATTTTCCAAAGCAAGCCAGAATACGCATACAACATTAACAGAATAAAGTAATATTTAATCCGAACGGGACTAATCGTCTTAGTGTTCACTTATTGTTTAGCGGTACGGTGTTTATAGTTGTGGTATTGCAAAAGGCAATAGTTGGTAAGGAAGATCTATGTGTTAATACTGCTTTAGAACACGTTGGCATAGAGTTCATAAATGCATAAAGGATAAAGCAAAGGGAACTATAGCTGTAAACGCTTTATCCTTTACAAGCGTCAAATGGGATTCTATTCACGACTAGGGAGCAAAATAAGGCGGACCGGACTACATGAAGACGCTCTCATTAGAGGACATTTCTCATAGATTAGCCGCGGTACATTTCACCTACAGAGGGAGATAACCATGCGTCATGAAATGTGGCGCCCGATCCCCGGCCCGAAGATAGGCACAATTGTATTCTAAACGAGGTCTATGCTAATGCATGAGATGTGCTATCACAATGGCCGCATTAGGCGATAGAAGCGCTCCCATCAGAACACACGGTTAGGGCAAACTTAGTCATGAGCCCGAGGCAATAAAAGCGGCCCCAGGTTCCCGCTTAAACGGCTATAGCCCATCCGCCTCGTCTGGATTCCATCTTATTATTCCTACCCGCTGGACGACTATCTTTACCGGGAAAGGATACCAATACAAAATCTCAAGTATAACATAATCTTCTTGAAAAAATAAATACAATGTTTAAAAAAGAATAAAAATAACATTTCGGTTGAGAAAAAGATTGTGACAGGATGGTCTACAGGTATCTTTGGAAAATTGATAATTATAAGTGCTAAATAATCACTAAGATCAAAATCAGCTTGCTGCATTATTGAATATGACCAGAATGGAGGGTTTGAATCCATTTTAGATAATATAAAAAAAATTAACCTTTTTATT